ATCAGTTCCCAGGTGCTGGTGAAAAGTTGCAGGGACTTCAGTAGCAACCCTGGAGCCGGAATGTCTTTCTGCTAAAATCACAGTGCGAGGAGCAGAAGCCTTCTGGAAGGGGAGCACGGACGTGCAACCCTTTGCAGCCTTGTCCTCATTCTTCCCAGTGAGATGCTAGGCCTCACTCCATGGAGGGTGACAGCTGGTAGGGGACCAGGGAGAAACTCCTTGCTCTTCCCAGGTCAGGCCAGCTGGGAAGTCTAGTTTGAGGGGTTTCCCATGTTTTTTAATGTGATGATTGTTTTTCCTCCTTTGAAACTGGAAGAAAATTAACAATACTGGGCCCTTCAGTTTAAAAACACATTCCCTCGGTGGAGACCCTGGTCCCACTTGGTCTCTCTATTGTTGGTGAAGACAATCTTTAGCTTCCTAAAGACTCCAGAATGTCTTAAGTTCTCATTGTCATCTACCATGGGTGTGATTTAGGGTTTTCATTTCAGTCCCAGGTGAGGCAGTGTGTCTCCCAAGAGACCCCGTTGGAAAGCCGGTTGGGGAAGATTGGCAGGCTCTCCAGAGTGACGCGGCATTGAGGCTGGGCTTCATTGGTGAGAGCTAGTTTTCGAGGGAAGTTGAAATGTGCGACTTTCTGCTGGAACTGAGTGAAGGCGAGGAGAAGGTGATGTTTATGGGACAGTGACGGAGAGGGGAAGGAGGGAGCAGGCACACTCCCCTCTGGGTTCTTTACCTTTTGAGGTTGCCCCTTTGGAGAATACAGTGAATGGAGTTAGCCCACAGAAAGCTGCTGGCACCTGGGGGATTTTACGTACAGTTTTTGGAGGTTCATAGATCTGCTCCACAGAGGGAAACTATAGACAAGTTTGTCTCGTTCACAAGAAGCACTTATGTGCTGTCAGGCTGTGCTTTGAATATGGGGAGATGGGCGCCGGGACTTCAGTGTTTGGTATTTGGGCATGTCTCGTTTTGTTTATTGATTTTAGAGCACTATTTAGGTCCTCAAATGACATCATTTGGCTTTTGTTCTAGTGGGGTCTCAACTAGGATAAATGGAATTACAGTCACTTCTATGAATTTAAGAGACCATGATATTGTTCACGTGTGTGAAGGCGTTCTAGCATCAGAAGGCTGGAGGCAACCCTTTTATGTATTCTTAAGAGGAGGAGGTTTAAGCCTTGGGGACAGAGTCACCAGTGTAGGTCAGTAGTAATTTGGGGCCTTGTCATCCTACTCGATAATGCGATAGTCTCACTGATCGCACTCTGTGTAGGATGGGTTCCCATGTAAAGCATTAGTTGGATGAAGGTTTCTGTAGGACCAGCAACTTACAGACTTGTCAGTCTGAAAAGTGTCTCTTTGGAAGTGGCAGTGAATGTGTTCCACCAGTTGTCTGAGGGGAGGATCAAATGGAGGTGTGAGGGAGGTGTTGTAGAAGAGGCATTTGTTAATTCTTATTTTTATATAAAAGCTTGTTACAGGAAAATCAGAAAAGGCTAAAACAAAAGCAAAACTATGAACATCTTTTTAAAAGCAACTTTGCATCATATGAACATACTGTTTTTTTTAAACTTCTAATTTTGAAACTTTTTAGATATATAGAAAAATTGAGAGTATGGTAAATACTAGGTACAGATTCATCTTTTTAAAAATTTTGATATAATTTCAGACTTATAGATAAGTCCTAAGAATACAGCAAATAATTCTGGGGTGCTCAGATTCCCCAAAATGTTTTACTACGTTTGCTTCATTCTTTTCCTTTACTTCTTTGTGTGTGTCTATCTATATTTCTCTGTGTTTCAGGGTCTATGCAGTTTGGAGACCTAGTTTTGTTTTAGATTTTTGGTTTTGTACCTCCCAGCATGTCCTAAGTAAGCACTTTTCCTTAGTGATAGATGCAGAGAGCAGAGTAGCACAGTGATGGAGCCAGCGCCCTGAGGCCAGACTGCCTGTTTCATGCTTGCCATCTGTATTCTCTTAAGCATTCCCTTACCTGTGAAATGGGAGACTAATACCACAACCCCCTGCTTGTGGTAATTAAGGGAATGCATATGTGCACTTTACTGAGTACAGTGCCTGGCACAGAGCAAGCTCTCAGAAAATGCTGGCTGTTCTTACCGCTAAATGACGTTCATAAGGGATATTGTGCAGACATCTGGGCAGTAGCCGTTTTGCCTCTGTTCCCTCCTCTCCCACCGTCCTTTTCTTCATATCCAGGTTCCAGAGAACAGACATGGGTGGCTTACTCAGCTACAGGATGGTTTAGTTGGAAAAACCGCCCTAAAGCGCAGCTCCCAAATGCTCCCATGTTCACAAGCTCATGTCGCTTGGTGATAGGGTTTCACAGCTCTCAGAGTGGGAACAATGAGGTGACTTTTCATAAATGCCAGGTGTTTTATTATGACATTACATAGTTCCTTTTTTTTTGATGTTAAAGTGTTCCTTTAAAAAATGATGTTTATAAAGATAGTTGTTCTGTCATTATTGTATTTTAATATATTTAGTAGATCAAAAACCCCCAAAAGGCAAACCTATTAATCCCCAAATATTTTTGGAGATTTTAATGGTCCATGGCTGTTTGGCTTTGTGCTTACATGCGAATACCTGTGAACACTGTTTCTGTCTAGAAGTTTATTAATTTTGTCGCAGATTGAATGAACACTTGTTGACTCCCCACTGAATGCTGGATACTGTACTCGATGCTTTGTATGTCTCATGTTGTCTTCATCATTCACCCTGTGAGCACATTACTCCCTCTGCTTCCACTGAGGAGACAGTCTGAGAGAGCTGCTGGGACCCACGCAGGGCTGTGCAGCTGCAAGTGGCGTGCCCACAGTTAGAGCGTGTCTCCCCACCCCCTGTTCATGGTGCATGGGCTGCAGGTTTCGGCCATGCAGGGTGGCAGTGCAGCCCCCATAAACCACGGGCCTCCTTTCAGTGGAGATTTGCCAAAGGCGCAGCCACTACGTAGAGAAAGAGGCTTTCTTTTAAGTGGCCTTGTAGGACAAAAATGTAGAAACATCTTTCCGCCCTATAGACAATGGCCATTTGCACAACAGCCTGGAGTTCCTAATTGTTGATGACTCTTAAATTAGGAATGCAACCACCACTTTTGCCTGAGTCAGTGACCCTCGGTTCTACCTACATATAGGCCGCCTTCCAAGGAGAGGAAATTGCTGCTTTGCGAATTAGCGGCTACCCAAGAAACACCTCACAAACACCGGGCATAGAAAATAAGGTCCATTGAAAGACTTACTACTAGAGTGAGGGACAGAGCCGGACCGGGTCACAAGGTGCTGAAGTTGACAGGCTCCAGGAGCTCCACAGCTGTGGGGCTCAGCCTCTAGTGCAGTGTTTCTTAAATTTGGCTACACAACACAGGCATCCGTGGTACTTTTAAGAAAGAATCCTCTGTCCTACTCTTGACCTCCTGGATGGGCCTGTGACTGAGGGGCGCCTGTGGCCGTGCTGCTGAAAGCTCCCCAGGTGACCCTGAGGCCACAGCTTTCCTGTGGCTGTTACTGGGTAACTGGGCACCCAGCAGCCTCAGGTTGAGGATGGTTGTCCTGGGCATGCTCATGAGCACTACAGTTTAGCCTGTGGTCACAGGTGGTTGAGTGCTGCGTGAAGCCAGCCTCGGGGTCATCGGTCCTTGGAGCATGACACTCCTTCCTCTGCTACTGTTCCTCAGAAGAGTTTCGTGTCAAGCCCATTTCTGTACAGTGTTTGATGCCATGCCCATGGAGCCCTTGCTTTAGATGTTAGTCATAGAAGCGAAGGTCCATGGCAATTTGGTCACCCCCTGACCAAATTGCCACCCTGTAGTCCTGCACGTACGTAGTCCACTGGTGGCCCATGCAGACATGCTGGCGCCTACCTGGAGGCCCACCCTGCACTCCTCTGTGGCTTCTGCCCAAGCTCACCCCAGCCTCCTCACCAGCTGAATTTCTCGTCCGTAAACACGCCACCCCCATGTTGCCAGTGGACCCTCTACCTACCTGGGTCTCAGCTTAGAGGCCATCTCCTCATCAGTCCCTGTTGTAGTGCCTCTTTTATTTTCATCAGAGCATTTATCACTGTCTGAAATTTTATTTACTTATTTATTGTTTGTCTCTTCCACTGTGATGTCAGCTCCTTGAGAGCAAATGCCTGTCTTGTTTCCCATTAAAGCCCAGCATCTGGAACAGTGCTTGGCCCATCAGGTGCCCATAAAGTGTCAGAGGGAGGATTGTTCTGGGCTCTACACCTTTGCCCCCTCCACACGGGGCAGGGCTTACTTGAGCCTATGTAAGGTGTCTCTTGTTGCTAGAACTGTAGCAGTTTTCTGGAGCAAAACTGAATACCCTTGAGCCTGATGATTTTTCTAAACCTGTCGTGTTATAACGCTCCCATGGAGCTTTTCCTTGCCCATATGCAGGTTAGTGTGACAAGACCTATTAGGGTTAGCGTTAATTTCATAGCCTCTCAGATGGTGGGCTTTTTGTCTTTCTGGCTAGAGCTATATCCTGAGGTCCTGGGCAGGAAAGGACACCTTGAATTTGGAAGAACTTAGCCCTGTTTGTCACTCCTGTCCCTTTGCTACAGAAATACTGCAGTCTAGGTACAGACCAACTCGATGTCTGCAGAATGTCCCCTGACTCTGAGTCATAAGTGGGGCCTGCTTGGATGGTGTGGCACCTCGTGTTTTATGAAGCATCTGAAAGCTTCAGGGCTTTAGAGCGGTCTTCCTAGTGGGCCCCTTTGAGGGTCTGGTGACAGTTACACACCCTCTCCTCAGAAGGTGTACAAGCATCTGTGCATATCGTTTTGCCTATAATTTTGAGGGGTGTAAGGATTTGAATGCCCTCCATGTACCCTAAGATTCTGCATGGGGAATGAAGTCAGTTTGCTTATCTACCATAGCTGGCACTCAGCTCTCCCATGCTGTTTCTTTCTGACTTGGTCTCCTGTCTTCTGTGCCCTTTCTTGTTTTATAATAACCTGCTGGACCCTCTCAGGCCCAGAAGAGGCGATATTCTCCAGGAGTCCAGGTACTTAGTTCTTGACACCCATGGCCATCCCTGACTCCCTGTGTGTCCATCTACCATTCACTACTGTTTAGAATCCATGTCTCAAGGGTCACCAGTCTCTGATTTCGAGTGCATCTTCACCTTGCATGTTGACTGTTGAGGGCGGTGAAGAACTCGCCGAGGAAGTGGCACGTCGTGTCTCCTCGCCTCTCTTCTGCACTGCCCAGCACTGGGCTGCTCTGGAGTGCTTATTAGCTCATTCATTACCTCTGAGGAGGAGTTTGCTCTTAAATGCTATTGCAGGGGGAGGGACTTTGAAGTAGGTAGAAAATAGGTGGGATCTGGGAAACTTGCAGTGGGGGGACCTTGCTCCAAATATCACATTGGGAGAAGTTGTGTGGGGCTGAAGCTGAGTGGGCTGGAAGGTCTTTGCCTGAGAACAGCCATTGTGGCTGGAGAACAGCATCTGGCAACCTGGCTCTGGCAGTGCCCTCTTGGGGTCCTAGTCTTTTAGCATTGTGTGCTTAGAGGGTTTTAGGATTTGAAAGGAGCTATCCTGAATGGAAAGGTTTTCCTGATTAGACAAGTATTTTCAGAATACCTGCTGTGTCCAAGGCACCCTGGGGGAAGGGATAGTGCCGAGGTAGAAACATACAAGACGCATGGTGAGTGATTTTCTTCTTCAGGAAGTTGACATGGCATCTGGATAGATAGACACATATGCATAAAATGAAAGTCACTGGTCTCGGGCAGAATACCCGCGCCCAGCAGGGACCCCTGGGAGGGTTCATGCCAGACGCCAGAGTCTCGGGCCCTTTCACCCACCGAGTCTGTGGCACAGAGGCTTCCTGAAGGCGGGGGCAGAGTCAGTCACTTCCTGGGCCATGTCCCTTGGGTGACCATCTGAGTGTGGCATCTTGGGGGCCACTGGCAGTGAGTCTGAGTGGTCATCTGGTCACTGTAGAACTCAGCTTGTAGGTGCACTATCCTTGTCACCATTGGCACAGGCATGTCTGAAGGTGCTTCCTTTGCTTTCCCA